TATTAATATTATGACGAGGCATGGAAATAGAAGCACCAGGCCCAACGGTACCGAGAGGGAGGAATTGCTCTTCAGTCGTATTCTCCGTCGAAAGAAGCCCAGTCTGGTCGATGCTTTCTCTGCGCGCCGCGATCCATGGTCGAACGTTTCTGTGGCCTGCTTGGACGTTGGCAGCCTCCTCGTGATGTTCTGCAGGAAGCCCATGGCGGTGTTGTTGTGTACGAGTGTCAAGGCGAAGCTTGTCTGCCCGTAGCAGTCCTGGAAGGCCCCGTTCGACCACCAGCCGATCTACGCTGGGAGGGCGGAAGCGAGCAGTGTGTAGGATGACTGCGATGTGCAGGGCGAGCAAATGCAGTAAGGGGCGACGTGTTTGATCCACGGAATTCGAACTTGCAACGAGTGACGGGGGTGCCAGACCGAGGGGGTGTGCGACTGGGAAGGCCGATCGGGTGTTGGCGCAAGTGCTAGCACGCTGGAACGGGGGAATCTGGCGGGAGAGAGAAAGGAGTGTCGATGGTTAGGTATTGCACCAGTATTTGGTTGCGACAATCACTAGCTAGACCACCGCTAGCCGAATCGGCGCCATGGTGTTTCTGTGTACAAGCATGTGTGCGTTTCGCGATTCGCAGTGGTGGAGCTGAGTGGGCAAGGAAGACGTCGACTCCCCACCTGTCCAGGCTGGATTTCAACGCAGGGACCAACAATCAAATCAAAACAAGGCTGGCCAGTGGCAGGCACGCTGATGGCAGGCCCAGCTGTTGGCCGTTGCTTCATGGCCGGGTTGGTCTGCCGCGGGCCTCGTTCATACCACCCATGCGGCCGAGAGGAAGAGAGAGGTTCGAACTTGGAATCGAATCCTCCTTGCGAGCGATACCGGTACGGTATAACGTGATCCACCACCGAGCGCCCACCCCCACCGAGCGCCCACCAACACCAAAATCCACCACCCACTAAATGAGGATATTGCGCCACCCACAATAGCTATTATTACGAGATTTCTTAGAGTCGCAATTATTAGATCTATTAGAGTAGATTAAATATTTTAGATTATGTAAGCAGCTTTTTAGGGGGTCTAATTAGGCGCCTACGCTGTAAAGTTACCTCTACTACTATATCCTCTTCTACTAGCTCCTTATTAACTACCTTAGCTAGTATAATAGTAGGAGGCTTAAGGATTTACCTCTTACCTATTTAGGATATTTTAATATTATTTTAGAGTTACTTTTCTAGTTACTTAGTAGTTTTCTGCTTATTACGTGTAGTAGCTTTTTAGGTAGCTTTCTCCTCCTACTCCTTCTTAGTAATTACTTAATTTAGGTAACACTCCTTTATAAGTTAAGCTTTAGTAAGCTTCTATTACTTATAAAGCTTAATTACCTTACTTTTTTAGTGTTATAGCTCTTATTCTTTAAGGTTCTTTTACTCCTAGAGCTTAAACACTTACTCTACCTTTAATAGTAAAATAAATTAGGCACTACTACTATAATTATTATTAGGGGGTAATAATAGAGGTTTACTACGCTTCCTACGCTTCTTCTTATTAGCTAGGGCAGCCCTTAGGTATTTATTTTTATAGTTAAGTAGAGTATTTCTTACTAATATAGTATAGATTATCTAGCTAAGCTTCTTTAACTATTTATTATAGATATTAATTATAGTATTATAGAGTAACTACTCTATCTTTCTCTAATTACTTACACTTAATATTAAGGTTATACTTGTAACAACTTAGGTAGGTAGGGCATCTAAAAGGTATCCTATACGACTTAAAGGCATATAGGAGTGCGCGTCTATATAGAAAAGGATAAGATTCCTACACCTATAGGTCTTGTATAAAAGGATAAGAAGAATATACCTATCCTAACTATAGGTAAGCTATTCTCTATATATATTAGTAAGTTAGGCCTTTATTAGGCCTAACTTAGTATAGAATAATAGGCAGGTAATTCTACCTTATTATTACACTACCCCCTTCTATAGAGAAAGGATAGTCCCTATCCTTAGGATTAGGTTTAGATCCCTTATTAAAGAAGAGCTTTTTGCAAAATAATTCTACCTTTACCTCTACCTTTACCTTTACTTCTTCTTCCTAGGGCACAGACCCCTATCCCTAGCCTGCCTATAACTAGCCCTCTACCTACTAACTTTCTTATTCCTATATCCCTAATTTTTTAATTTTTTAACCTAATCTATTTAAAATCTAGTAAGTATTTAATCTATATAATTAAATAGTTACTAATCTAAATTAGAACCTTTAGCTATACTAGTACTAGTACTACTAGGTGTAAAGGGCTTAGGCTTATGCCTAAGCCTAGGTCTAATACAAGATAGACTAAGTCTAACACTACTACTAAGCGAATATATTGCACACCTATAAAAAGGCGCTAAGGGCTTACCTCTCCTTTAAGATACTAAATACTATTATTAATGCTTATTATATTCTCCCTTAAGGCTAGTCTATAATATTTTAGTATCTTCTTCTAAATATACTATAATAGTAATAAGAGATAGACACGCTAGATATTTAGAATAACTAGGTGTAACCTAATATAGTAGAAAGGCTAATATAATAGGTCTATAGATTAATAGAATAATAGGCTTAAGACTCTACTATAATAGCTATACTATATTAATAGAATAAAGAAATACGCAATTAGATTCTATCCTAACCCTCCTCTAAGCCCGCTAGGTTTAATAATATACTACCTCTACCCTCTCCTACCTTATATTATAAACCTTTCCTAGTTAGCTTGCTATATAATAGTACTAAGGTAAACTTCTCCTCCTAGTAAATAACTATAGAGTTTAAACTACGTGCAGATAAGGTCTTTATTAGGGATAAGGAGGCAAGGTTTATATATATTTAGTCCTAGTTATTACCTATAGTCTAGCGCGCTATAGCACTATACTTTAAGGATAATATATATAAGTGTTAGGATATAAGTAGGTTTCTTAACTACCTAGTATTCTATTATAGCAACTATTATAAGCAGGAGCGCGCCTAAGTTATATTAGAATACTTATATTAGGGCTAAAATTAGCCTTTTATAGAGTTCTTTATAAATTTTATATAGCTCCTTATATAGTTAGGAGGTTTATACTAGGATAATAAATAGAAGCTTTTATAACTTTAGTAATCTCTTAATAGTTATATACGCTTAGTTTCTCTTAATAGGGGAGTCTCTAGGATAAACTATAATATAGCTATAGAGGAATACAAGATAATTATAGTAGATATTAAAATAGCCTCTCTAGAACTAGGTTTTCTTTAGGCTAGTAAGTCTAAGGAACCCTAGTAGAAGTCTAACTTAGATTAGGATAGCAATATAAATATAGTAGAAGTGGCAGCCTTATTAAGTGCACCTACTAAACTACTAATATTATATCCTAACTAGATCCTATAGGACCTATTTAATATATAGAAACTAGTAAAGGTCTACACCTAGTATAGATAGGGCAGTTATTTTATACGTGTATGCCCTAATACCCTATTACTATAACTAGTAGGTGTTAAGATAGTTATAGTATTAGTAAGTGGCTCTAATTTAGGAAACTAGCTGCCCCTAACTTTAGGCTAAGTTAGGGGTATAAGGAGGACACTATAATAGAGGAATTATTAATAGTAGAGGCTATTAAGTATCCCCTAGATATTAAGGCTAGGTTAAATAATCCTCCTTTCTTTATTCCCCTCCTCCTAGGTAGAGTAGAGAACGTGCAAGTAATAGTTAATTTAGGGTACTAGTATTTTAGTGTAGTTAAGGAAAAGTTAGTAAGATAGATTAGTAGGAACTTTATAGATATTCCCCTGCAACCCTTGCAATATACCTAGGGAATTACTAAGGGTACAAGAATTTTATAGTTAGTAGTATTAGACTATAATTTAGATAGTTAGTAGTCTTAGCTTTTAGCCTATATAGTACCTAGTCTCTCCTATTAACTAATACTAGGTAGACTATAGCTATATAGAGAGGGCGTTGTTATAGATATTCTATAAGGCAAATTAATAATTAGGAAGGCAGGAAATATAGTAGTATAAGAGAGTAGGAGACGCCTATATCCTACCTATATCTCTATTATCTTAGGTTTAGTTATAGTAGGGTTACTAAATTAAGGACCCTAATAGGAAGATATATAGGTATAAATTTTTATAATAAATATACTAGATATTTTATAGGTAATATATAACTTACGCCTAATAAAATATCTAGAAAGTGTTAGTAAAGGAAGTCCTATTAATATATATACTATCTATATTGCTAATAGCATAGTTCCTTATAAACCTAAGCATAAAACTAGAAAGATAATATTACTACTAGAACTATAAGAGTTTAAGGACCTATTTAACAAAGAGTTAGCAAGTAGTTTACTACCTTATTAAGGTAGTATAGATTACTATATTTAGTTAATAACTCTCCTAGATAGAACCTAGCCTAACCCCCTATAAGGTCCCCTATACCCTATATCTTATAATTAATTACTAGAACTAAGAATATAACTTACTAGATTAATAGATAAGGGCTAGATCTAAGTAAGCTCTTCTATAGCTAGAGCTCTAGTATTACTAGTAAAGAAGCTATTAGGCAGTTAGCGCCTTTATATAGATTACTAGATACTTAATAGTATAATAATATTAGACTAATACCTACTACTACTTATTAAGGAAACTTTACACACACTATCTAGTGTAAATTAGTTTATAAAAGTAGATATTTACGCTACCTTTTATAAAGTTAGAATAGTAGAAGGTTATAAGTCCTTAATAGCTTTCTATACCTAGTTTAGGTTATATAAATAGTTAGTATATCTATTTAGTCTTAGTAGTGCGCTATCTACTTTCTAATAATATATTAATACTACGCTTATAGAGTTACTTAGATTATATATAATAGCCTACCTTAATAATATCCTAATTTATTTAGGAGGAGACTAGTTTAACTATATAGAAAAAGTAAAGCGTGTACTTATACTATTAAAAGAAGTAGGACTATACCTAGACTTAAAGAAGTGTGCGTTTAGTATTAAGAAGGTACACTACCTAGGCTATATTATTAAGGTAGGTAAATTACTTAGACCTAACCCTAAAAAGCTTAGGGTAGTATAGGAATAGGAATCCCCTAGGAATATAAGAGAGGTAAGAAGTTTTCTAGGTTTTACTAACTTCTACCGCGATTTTATTATAAAGTTTTCTAAAGTAGTAGCGCCTTTAAACTAACTAACTAGGAAGGATACCCTATTCTAATAGGGAGAGGAAGAATAGAGTGTATTTAATACACTAAAAAAGGTATTTATATCTAGACTAGTACTAATATAATAGGACCTAGCTAAAGAAATATTATTAGAAGTAGACTATTTAGGATATACTCTTAGGGGTTGCTTATTATAAAAAGTTAGGGGCGTCTAGCGCCTAGTTACTTACTACTCTTTAGCACTAACGCTAGAGAGACAAAACTACACTATATATAACAAGGAATTACTAGCTATTATTAAGTATCTTAAAAGCTAGTTAGTAGAGTTATAGAGTATTTATAAACTATTTATAATATTTATAGACTATAAAAACCTAGAGTACTTTACTAGCCTTTAAAGCTTAAGCAAGTAATAGTGCTACTAGGTAGAGGAACTTTTAAAATATTAGTACATCCTATAGTATAGACCTAGCTATCTTGCAGGATAACCTAATACCTTAAGCAGGCAACTATAAGACTTAAACTCCTCTAAAGCAACACTATAGTTAGTAATACGCCCTAAATTAATTTAGGTTACAGTGTTAGAAGTAGAGGAGGCGTCTAAGTTACTAAAGGGCGCTAGCCTTTTCGCTAACCTATATATATAGATACTATAGGATAAAGCAGTATTAGAAGATAAGATATACTAAGTACGTCTTAATACAGT